GCTCCAAATGATGTCTACGTAGCGTAGCCAGCAATTGGGTTTGCGTGGCGCGGTGTTTAGTGCTGTAGCCTCGACGTTCTCAATGTACAGGTTGGCCACCATCGGGCTCAGCGGGTTTCCCATGGCTACCCCATCTTCCTGTTCGTAGAACTCACCATCCCATACAAAATATGTCGTAGTGAGTACGTGGTGAAAAAGCCCTGTGATGTCAGCTGGAAAATGCTTTTGCAGCAACGCCATAGTTTCAGTGACAGGAAAGATTCAGTTTCCGAGCGAAACGTCGAAGCTAACTAGTATATCGCCTGGTTGTATTGTCAGGGTCTTCAGTTTTTCGACAAAGTGCGTCGAATCCTGGATGAAGGTATCTGTCTTGCCTATGTGGGGTCGAAGCAGAGAGCAAAGGTACTTTGATAATGAGTATGTAGGAGAGCCAATGGCGCTGTCGATGGGCCGCAACGGAACTTCCTGTTTGTGAATTTTCGGTAACCCATAGAGCCTGGGTGCTATTGCTTCAGATTTCTTGATTACGCGTTGGTTTTCTTCAGGAATTGAAGATTCTTTAAGTAGGTGGTTGGTGCGGCGGGGTATGCGCGACGTGGGGTCACGTGGCAGCTGTCGATAGACGTTCGGGTCCAGAATGTCCTTAATTTTGTTTTTGTAATCCGTTTTGTTGAACACAACGGTTGCGTTACCCTTATCGGCAGCAAGAATGATCAAGTCGTCGTTGTTGAGTTTTCGTTGTGCTGCTCTCTCCGCGTAGGAGAGGTTGTTCTTGGGGGTTTTGCTCTGTGCAGAATTCTAATCATTCTCTACGGATAATCTCAGCTACATCAGTGGGCAGCGTTCATATTCCCGACTCGATCTTCGAGATAATGTCTTCCACTGGCACTGTCGTAGGTGTAACCGCGTAGTTGCCTCCCTTAGCCAGGAGAGATGTTTCTTCCGGAGAGAGCTGTAGATCTGACAGGTTGACCACAGTGCGTTGTAGATCAAGGATAGGTGGGGCTGTACTGGTTTGTGTAAGCCGATTGTATTTATGTATTTGTTTCTCAGAAATCTGTTTCTTCTTTGATATCGTGTTGTAGGTGATGCGGTCAACGTTGTCCCAATCGTGCATTCGGAGCGTATTGCTGCTCTGTAGATGCAGTCCATATAGGTCCTTGTCCGTAGCAGCAATATCACGCCGGTTCTGATGTATCCGTTCCCGTAGGAGAGCCTTTTCCGTTCGGTCGTAGATGCGGTGCGACGACCGCGTTGAAAAAACGCGTTTCTGGCGCAAGAAATTAGGAACGACATTGTTGTCCCGGCAACGTAGTAAAAAGGTTAGGGAGCACAGCATTTGAATTTTCTTCCTCCGTTCGCCCGAGACCTCGCCACTGAAGATGCCCACCGCAGTCGTGGGCGAAACGTTTGGTATCTCAAAGTCAATTGGACTACTGCCCATCAGCCAGGAAGACCTGAAGAATATTGACTCCGGCCGTGAAAGCCGACAATGCTGTACGATAATTTGTTTATATACTAATAACACTTAAGCGAATTAAAATATTGAAACGGAGTTTAAAAATCTGTTCGGAATAAAATGGAAATGTTACTTATTTAATAAATAGTCATTGTTGCCGTAAGACAGAAATTTTTACTGCAATGGTCCCACGGAAGTACCAATAAACGTTGCATCTTCTTGTGTGTGTATTTTTCCCCTCGAAGAAATGGTAAAGATAATAAATTTACTTCGAAGCAGAGATTATCGCCTCGAGGCGCTACCGAGAGTGCCATCGATATAAAGCGAAATATCGAAGCGAGACATTGCAAACCTCTCTTTTCATTTCACTAGTGTGCGGAGAGCGAACGGAATGAGTGCAAATAATGGGGGTGATGAGATGCTAGGTTCTAAGAAGCAATTATATATCTCGAGAACGGAAGTTGATAGCACCGATCGGACCGAGGAGCTTTTGTATTGCGTTTAAAGGGGAATTAGAGCCAATAAACAAATTTGTAACATTTACAAATTTCTAAACAATTTCCAACTTTTACAGATCTAAAGAGGGGAGAGTCTCCCGATATCCTAGAAGTGAAAACAACGAATTAATAAATTTGCAATAATTTACAAATTTATAAACAAATTCGAAATATGCACTTTAACGGCCGGAGTGTATCAACAAATTGTGCCTGAGATGAACATTTCAATATAACAGTTTGAGTTATAAATTGATTGCTAAAAGATAATATAATTATTGCAAATGAGCTAAATATTTACTAGTCTATTGACAGTAATTCTGAACGGAAAACCACTGCTCGGAAATATTTTTTCGTTATGGCGTACATGCAGGCTAAATCTCTTCTTCGGCAGGGAAATATTACGATATTTTCGGCTAATACGCGAACAATTAAGACCCCCCCCGAAGGGACGGCGTCTTTCCCGCCCTCTGGGAATTTGCGCTTATCACATAGGCTTTAAGGTTATGACTGCTAGCGATTGGTCAACGCTCTCCCCACCCGGATCGAAGGTGTCCAAATTTGTCTGGACGGTTGGGAAGATAGAATTTCACCCGCCAGTTTTGTGAGGGGAACTTTACGCCTGCATATGTGGGTCAAACTGGGAGAAAATGTTCTTGCAGAATTAAGATAATCTTAGATAATTCAACATTTGCTAACACAACTACACCTTTGAACCAAATAGAAATTTTAAAAACATCCATTTAGAAATAAAGACAGAATAAACTTATTAGAGAATTTAGAAATTTTAAACGTTTTAAAAAACACAGAATTGACAGATCTGAATGAATAATATCATATTAAAACTACAGGTTGACTGCTTCTGCTCTCTTCCACTTTCGTTAGCAGTCACTCGGTCATAAGACGGCGCCGAATTGCAATTCTCTTTTTGCTTCATGTTTTCAATCCATGACATTTAGATTATAATCTATTTTCATCCAATTTAATCTTCAAAGACCAGTCACATTACCGTGACCACCCATCAATATCTTAAATAACACCCTTTGCAGCGCTGACTTCTCGTTCCGGATAGCGTAGATAATATGCAGGAAGAGTCAATTAGGTTCTCGTTGGTACAGACACGAATATGGAGCCTGGCAGACTCTAGTGCGGTGGTCAGCTTGCTAAGTTCCGCCATGTTCCATCCGGTTACGGATGCATGGCGCGCACGGCCCATCGAGATGCTCCCAAAGATTCTCTATTGAGTTTCAATCGGGGGAGCTTGGTGGTCAGGCGAGTACTGTAAACTAGTGTTCTTCAACCTACACACGTACACTACAAGTGTAACGTATTAGCCAGCGTGCCTCGTGGCATCTATTTGGGGACGCTTGGTAGAGGATTAGTAAGAGGAAACTCCTCGCCACAGGAAGGAGAGAAGGGTTTTTCCGTAAAGCAAGAACGCGGAAACGGGAGACGAGGCTTTGGGGTCTTCCGGTCTCAAGACGCGGAGACCCAAACCCTTTTTAATTGTTAGCATTATAACAGCGGTGGGGGTGGCGTGACGTAGGTCACGTGGGCCTCGACTGTATAACGGAGTGTACAGAGCCAGTGGGTGGGTTCTAGAGACAGTGGGAGAACCTCGTGCATGTGCACAAAACTTGACGCCACGACGGTGCATATGCGGTCCAGGCTCGCGAGGCAAGGCACAAGTTGACGAGCCTGCGGAGGACTTTGTGTCTTTGGGTGACTGCGGTCACGTGGGAGCGATGCTGTGTGCGTGCTCCGAGGTGAGGAGTGATCTGAGTGCCACGATTCACGCCGATTCTCAATCGGATAAGATCGCTCCTGCGATCGAGGCAAACCATCAGTTGGTACGCCAGTACGGACTTTGTGTCCCAGCGAGACATCCGGTCACGGAAGCTAGGCTTTGTGCGCGCTTCAGAAGTAGGAGTGGCGAATACCAGAATCGAAACCGATCATCAATCGGGTTTGGATCGCTCCCGCGATCAGGGTATAGTAAGTCTATCAGAGATAGGGTGTAAGTAGATTAAGTGTATATATTTCTTTTGTTTTCTTGTTAATAAATATATTTGTTATATGAAAGCTCTGTGTCTGTGTTCGCTGTGAGTATCCATGCCGTCACACAAGCTATATAACGTTCCATTTTCCTGCTGGTAGATGCCGTCTTGCTGAGGAAAAACGATCTGCATATAGAGGTGAACATGGTCTCTACGGATGGCTGAAAACTTCTGTTGATCAATTGTGCGTTTCAGAATGGCACGATCAACCAGGGAATGCCACGAAAACATTCCCCACACCATTGCGCTCCTTCCTCTGGTGTGGACCCGTCCGACGATTGTTGCAGGTTGTTTGCATTCAGACGTTTCACACCGTGTACGCCCACGACCATCTGTCCGATGGAAGAGAAAACGTGATTCATCTGAAAAGGCTCCACCTGTCGCCACTCAGTGGACGTCCAGTTGCGGTTTTGGCGTGCAATTTCCAGCCAATAACCACACGCCTGCTATGCTGCAACGTTCGCTGAACTGTTGGTAGTCCCCGAATTCATCTGGGAGGTCAGTTGCTTTACAGTTGCATGTCTTCGCCCGTACTCTTTTCCGCAGTCGTCGTTCTCCTGTCATCTATCGCCCTCGTCGCGGGTTTCGGATATCGCTATTTCCCATGTACAGTATACTTTCAGAACGGATGCACGCGAACACTTTACAATCTCAGCCATTTCGGAGATGCTTCCGATCATCATGTTCTCTTGGACGCCCACTAAATCGCTCGGTTTCTGCATTGCGCAACGACGGCAACGATGACATGCTGTTCCTGTTTTTAATCATTCCACTAAAATTTTATGAAGAAACGAACAAATTATTTTCCTTAGAAGTTTGTGTAGTAAAGAAAATGCAGTCCTTTGGTGGGAGGGTTAAAAATGAATAATACCTGTACCCAGTGCTAGCCCCCCAAAAATGGTGATCTATGTATGTCAATAAGGAAATAAGAATTTACCGTGTTTGGCCTCTCCAAGAGTGAAGGAAGCAGACACAACATTTGCCATCAGAGTATTAGAAACGCATTGTATTTTATTTTCTGACAAATGACATAAATACATTTTGTATAAAATAATATATTACATTATAAAATTCGCATTTCATGACTGACTTTTCCACACGACACCATAGAAAAGTAACATTCAAACGAAAAAATATATATTGCACGCTGTATATTATACAAAAGAAAAAAATATTGCTTTTAGCATTGCATTGCATGAAGGAGAATTCCAGCATACTACGTTACTTGCATAACAGTTAAGTAATTTTTTATTCAAATCTTCAAAGTTTGATAGGTGATATAACGAACGTGTGTGAAAGTAACTATGGTGAGAAGCCTAAGAGAGAACTGCTGTAAATTTGAGGAGCGAGCAACGGAGGAACGTCGGGACGTGTGGGGGCGGGGGGCGGGGTGGAGGGGGGCGAGGGGCTAACTGGGGCGGCAGTTGATGGCGGGCGTGTCTCGCGCCTCGTCGCCGCCGCCGCCACCGCCGCCGTCGCCGTCCTCGCCCTGCACTGGCGTGATGCGGTAGCCCATGTTCATGAGCATCACCTCGAAGGGGTCTGCGTTCATGCGGCGCTGGTTGGCCGACGCCGCGTCGTCCAGGTCCATCACCTCGCGCTCGTTCTTCGACCCGTCCTACGCACGCGCCAGCGCAAACAGGGTGAGGCAATGAGGCAAGGGAGGCGCGCACGTTTCCTGGAGCTCACACACTGTGCTAGGTGTAAGAAGTGGGGCGAGGTATTTTGGTGGCAATAATATATCAAAGATGTGCAAAATAGTTTATATTATACGGGAGCGAATATTTGTGGTTATCAGATTATTTCAACAACGCTGGTTGTTGTCATTTATCCTTAATGTAACTAATGTTGCAAAAGGAGTGGGAGTCGGCATTTCCAGGCTCAAGAAAAAGTACGAATATAATACAGTAAACCTTCATTAATACCAATTCCATGACTCCGGAATAAACGAGGTTCGTGTTACAAAAATACTGTTGTGTGATTATCATCAATATTACTTGACTTACCCTGTTAGTGTTTATGTATTTGTGTGTATGTATACATACAAGGTGAGTTACGTAACTACACCACCTCTTTCAATTTTTGAGCGGTCGAAGATATTGATTGAAAGGCCAATTTTGAACCAGTGAGCCCTTCGCAAGATAATGTAGTTAACAGATCCAAGTATTCATTTATTTTATACTACTTTATTTTAACGACATGTTGAGGCATGTTTGCTTTTTCATTAGATGTCACGCTGTTTTTATATGGGTGAAATGTATGTAGTGTATACACGTATCTCCCAAGAGGGTCATGCAGGAAATCGTCCAAACGTCATCTTTACGAAATTCAAACTCACTTGTGGAGTTCCGCGACGCTGGAACCGATTCGTATGCAATGTTGTTACGTGTGTCTTCCCTGACATCCGAGATGCGCCATCAAAACGTGAGATGGCGAAAAAAATGCTTTTTAACCCGCCAAGCGCGAAATATGTTTTTTTGGGGGGGGTGCTGGTATTCGTAGTCTTTTTTTCATTCTGCAGTTTAATACTGTGCGAAGCACTACAAACCGAACGGTAACGTAGCGAAACTTGTTCTAAACGTATTTCGCACACGTTTAAAAAAATGTAAGCGTACCACTTGGGAGGGGTGAATCGTGCATTTGTTTTCTAACTTACTATTTGTACTTTCCTAACTAAATTGAATTTAACGAATTGTTCATTCCCCCTACAAGTTAAATTTTTCAGCATATGTATGCAAAGGTCCTTACAAAGTTAAGCACAACAAATGTTACGAGAAAATAGAATAGACTTCTTGAGCAAATCACAAAAGGTTTTAATTATTCACCAGAAAATTTTGTTTCAGTCCAAAAGAATTTAAACTACCGATTCCCAACAGCAGTACTATTGTTCAAAGTTGATGTCGCCAAAACTTCCACCTCACTGCGCAAAAAATCAAAGAGTAGGTGTCCCACTTTCAGTTCACCCATTTAGAAACAGCGTGACTTTCGCATACAGGGCATGAACCCTACTGCAAGCGGTTCACCGCATAACGGTGATATTGTAACGTATTAGCCAGCGTGCCTTGTGGCATCTATTTGGGGACGCTTGGCAGAGGATTAGCCTTGCCACAGGAAGAAGGGTTTTTCCGTAAAGGGAAGAACGCGGAAACGGGAGACACAAGGCTTTGGGAGTTTCCGGCTTATAGAAGCTTTTCACTGTTATAACAAGCGAGGGGGTGGCGTGACGTATTAGGTCACGTGGGCCTCGTCTATATAACAGAGTGTACAGAGCCAGTGGGTGGGTTCTGGAGACAGTGGGAGAACCTCGTGCGTGTGCACAAAACTTGGCGCCACGACGGTGCATATGCGAGCCAGGCTCGCGAGGCTCGAGTCACTAGTTGACGAAGCCAGCGGACTTTATGTCCTTGGGTGACTGCGGTCACGGGGGAGCGATGCTGTGTGCGTGCTCCGAGGTGAAGAGTGGTTGAGTGCTACGATTCACGCCGTTTCTCAATCGGATAAGATTGCTCCTGCGATCGAGGCAAACCAGCCGTTCGTGCGCCAGAACGGACTTTGTGTCCCAGCGTGACATACGGTCACGGAAGCTACGCTTTGTGTGCGCTTCAAATGTAGGAGTGGCGAATGCCACAATCAAAACCATCTTCAATCGGGTTTGGATCGCTCCCGCGATCCGGGGATAGTAGGTCTATCAGAGCTAGGGTGTAAGTAGATAATTAAGTGTATATATTTGTTTTGTTTTCTTGTTAATAAATATATTTGTTACATGAAAGCTCAGTGTCTGTGGTCGCTGTGAGTATCCATGACGTCACAATATATGTGAAAGGGCGGCAAAAATTTAGAAACGTTTTAATTTCTCTTTTATTTAAATTTTAAAAGAAAAAAGGTGATCCTAATCACAAATACATAAACTATCTTTTAGTGTTAAATTATTAGTCCAAAAAATAAATACACTAATACGTAAGTGTAAGAAATACATTTTTCGGAAATTTCATCAATTTCCTGTAATAAATATCGGCTACTTTCATTGCTAATGCGGCGACTGAGAAGTTGCCGCTCGACTTCACAATCAAAAGTGTGTCCAAGCTAAATAAAATCTCCGTAACAACATTCGAAGCTGTACAAGAGAGCACCAATTCGCAGAGGGTGCAGATTGGGAGGCGGCAAAGGGGCGTGCGCTTACCTCGGGGCGCGGGCTCCAGAGGCGCACGACGGGGTCGATGCCGCTGGTGGCCAGCAGGCAAGCCGACGGGTGCGGCTGCAGGCAGTTCACGATGGACTCGTCGCCGCGCAGCACGCGCCGGATGTTGGTGGTGCGGCGGTCCCACACGAAGAACGACCCGTCGTCCGACCCCGCCACCACGAACTGCCCCTGGCTGACACACAACAACGCTTCGCTTCGCCTCTCGGTGTTCTTACAAGCATTGAAATTAACAAATCCAAGTGCAATAGGGATGTCCAGATAGTGTAGGGTTCTTTCACACGATTTACATGAATAGTCACAGAGGATACAGTTAATTGACTAGCTATAACAGCCTTTCTCCAAGAATTTCCACTATTGAACACAATAACTTCAGGCATTTAGCTTGGCATTTTTTAAAATGAAATTAATTTTCTTTGTTCAGCATTTACGAACTAAGAAAGTCCTAAAGAAGCTATTCCAAAGTCGTCCATTAGCCATGCAGTATTTTGCCTTTCGTAATACGCCACTTAGAAAGAAAGAAAAAAAAGCTAATTTTGGTGACTTTTAGCCTTGGAAATATTTCTATTTTATACCAGAGCTGAACTAGTGGTGCCACAGAATGGCGCAGACTTTCTCGTACTATTTAGTTTCTTAATCTCTTTAGTCTGGGCCAGCTTTTCGGTTTTGCCCCACCCTCTTCCCAGATGGTATCTAATGACAAAATATTTTTTTCTTTTTTTTTCAGCGCGCTAATGGTACAACTGGCAAGGTGGTATTCGAACCCGCGATCCTTCGAAACGAGGCTACTAAGGCGCTCTCGCCTTAGAGTACAGAACAATTAACAACAATGTAAATACGAATTCAGAGCTTCCCCTGCTCAAGCCGTGAGAAGAGCGTCCGCCTGACCTGCCGAAGAAGTTGGCCTCCTTGATGTCGGTGGTGGTGTTGCAGTGGCCGCAGAAGCGCGTCTCGTAGTCGGACGCCTGCTCTCGCCACGCGCGCTCCTGCGCCGACACGGCGTCCTTGCCTCCCGCCGCCCCCAGCGGCGCCCCGGCGCCGCCCGCCGCCTCCAGCTCCTCGGCCTCCACCTCTGCACACAGCCACACACAATGCACTCGCTTCCACTCCTCCTGTGGAATGCTAAAAGAATTGTCCTTCAGCCTCTACGGCAATCATCCCCTTCTCATCCACTGAGAAAAGCAGAGACGGCTACTTGATTTGCTCCTGGACATAAATATAGCTTCACTAAGCTTCAGTTTTGTCGTTTTGTCGAGCTGTTCTTTTGCTGTAGCGCGTTCGAGGTTAAGAATGAAGGACAGGGCTTCTTGGGCTTTTCCGGTAAATTAATATTCCCTCCGTTTTAAGATTTTAAAACTGTTTTAAATCCTCATGAATATGAGTTTTCATAGCAATTACATTAATAAAATACCTTGAATACATAATACATTTACAACAAATCGTGGTAAATATCTCAGAATATACTGTGCTCAGGAAGTTCGCGTTCCCGTCGTTTACCTACGTTTAGTGCTGGTATTTTCTTTTTAAGATTAATGGTTTTAATTACATCAAGTTAAATGTCTTTTTGTTTATTCTTCTTCATTTTGGTTTTTAGATTGTGTGATACATTTATAATTTACAATTTTTTAAAATTTAATTTCTTTTTCTTGGTAAACTTAATTTAGTATCCATGGTCCACCAAACGTACAGCGCAAGTGTGGTTGTGTGTTCCATAGTGGCGAAAAACAAATTGTTGTTAATGTTTACAACTATTTAACTATAATTTTATTTTCGAACGGGATTCATACTCAATGCCTAGCGGAATATGACTGTCGGCTCTCCCAACGCGAGGCAGCTCGGATTCCTGTGAATCATATCAGTTTGTTTCTGTGGGCACGACTTATTTTGTGATTAAAGGAATTTTAAATATTTGCTTCGGTAATCAAAACGTATTATTCCTCTACTGTTAAAAAAGGGACCAGAAAACTTGGCCTTCTTGCAACTGCATGAATTGGATTGAATTTTGGATATTGTATTGAAATAGTGAAAGCCCCCACTGGCTCGTTGACTAGAGTGCTCGCTTTCCACGGCGTAGCCCCTGTTTCAATTCCCGGTCGTGGCAAACATTGTGCGCTTTCCTTGCAATGTCCTGTTGCTGTGTGACGATGAGAAAGCTCACTTCTCTTGCTGAGAAGACCAGCATACAGCGTAGGGATGGCTATGTGCTAACCACACGTACCACTTAACCCGCTAGGCCGGGACGCTGCTGGTAGGCCTTAGCTCGTAAAGAGCTGTTATACCAAAGTACTTACATACACTGAAATAGTGAAGCACTTCTAAATTAATATTTCTTTCTGATTTCTTATGACATTTCGAAGCAAAAAGGGCGTGAGATTCTTAACAGAAACGTTTCTTGTATATCGAAGACACATAGGAATAGTTTTAGATACGAGGAAAGACAAGACAATGTGCATTATTTACTTGGCTGTCCGAGTGACGCCGCGTCCATGGCAAAGGTGCCGACGTTTCGGTCGCCATTCCCCAGGGCGTCAGGAAGGTCTCAGGTAGGTCGCAGAATGGCGACCGAAACGTTGGCACCTTTGCCATGGACGCGGCGTCACCCAGACAGCCACGTAAATACTGACTGCTGCCGCGGAAGCCTACGCTCTCAAGACAACACGCTGTAATAAAATTGGAAAGGATCGAGACATTACTTTAGCGCTTCGCCCCATTGCAGGATTCGTCACTACTGAACACGTAACTTATGATTCATACAGTACAGCAGAAGAGCGCCACGTTGAGCGCCAAGAATGAAGTACAGTCTCTTATGGCGACAGTGATGTCACACTGTCGCCATAAGAGACTGTACTTCATTCTTAACTTCGGACGCACCGTAGTTGTGAAAGTAATTCAGTAAAGTATGGATTGTTTATTTTGTTGGTATTGACATACAATCACACTTGTTCGTTCACTGATGCAATAAGTTTTCTAATTCACGGGGGAGGACATTTCCAGTTTTCAAACGTTGCCAACAACGCTTTCTTAGTAACTTTATTTATCATTCAGCTACGTATTTGGAGTAAATTGGTGGATTTTGGAGCTCAAGAAAATAAGCGCAGATGACTCCTACACACGTCACTTGCGATTTTTTATTGGTATTCACAAATAAAAAATCAAAACTAAAAGCAAGATGGTTTACTTACTAGGACTATTCACGGCATTCGTATTTCATTTGATGAAATATGTTGCATGAAATTGAAAGTTTTCATAAATCGTTTTGTCAACTGAGCCACGATTGAGGCGCACAACACTGCTTGTAATGACAATGAATTTAGTGACCTTAGTCGATATTGTGGGAAACGAAAATATTTTTACAGTGGTGTCACGAAAGACATGTACCTACTAATATTCAATGGCAATTATATGTCGGGCAGGCTGTTTTTAGCGTGGAACATTTTTGGCGTTTTGCTATAGACTAAAGTATGCAACCTCGTTATAACTTCGATAAGCATAGTGACGCGACAGATGCAACTTAAAAGTGCTAGGTAAAAAATAAAAATAAAAAAAATTAAAAAACTGTGTTGAAAATTATGAGATGGATCAAGGATGTGTTATGTTATAGGAGGCCGGAACCTAGTCATGACATTAGACACGCATAGCGAAGGGTTTAATGGCCTGAAAAGTTTGAAATATCACAGCACATCGCTCGTGGGTACAAATACGAAAATACACTAGTTCACACAGTGTGATACACGGCGTGCTCGAATGGCGCCTAATCCCAATAACAGAAAAAAGTTTTTATCTTAAAAATAAAATGACTAATTTTACTCGCTTTTTTGCCATTCCCCTTTGTATTCTTTAGTGTAATTGAACATATTTTATTGTTGTTTATTATTCTCATTTGTAGAATAAGTACAACCTTTTACACTAGTGGATATTTCAAAGTACACATTTCTAATGCAGCGTAATATGGTTGCGATACCAACGCCGCTTCGCTGTTAGTGCACTTGAGTCAATGGGAACGTGAGCTTATACCTCTGGTTCGCGCGAATTCTGCCAACTGCATTCTCGCGAGATACCGCTTCCGAGATAAACTGTTTGCCTTCAGACCGGACCATTCCGCTTCACTACAAGCACTTTGAACGGCTCAGCAGATTTCTGCTTATCTGTTACTTACACAAGATGTACCTGTCATATCTCGACCTGGCGCAAACCTTTGCAAAGTGTCACACAGTTCCTCAAAAACTGCGCATTCAAGGTCAATGTCGGCAAAGCGAGATCCTCAAAGCGGAGGATTGCGGCCGGAATCCCTCAGGGCTCCGTCCTGTCTCCGCTACTGCTCTCGTTGTGTAAATGACATCCCACATAAACCACGAATAAGGCTTTTCAGTTACGTTGATGACATAGCCGTCTTAGAAAGAGCAATAAACCTAAATCACAAATTAAAAATACTTCAAAAACAGATGAACCTGACGCTGAAGTGCGCGAAACAAGCTCAGCGGTAAAGTCTCGGGCAATCTGTTAAACCCCCTGCAAACACAAATACACTAAACGTTTTACACCACCAAAACAAATTACACTTGGCACACAAAAACTGATATGGGCGCCTAAGGCAACTTACTTGGGCGTCACATTTGATCGAAGGATGCGCTAACATTTGCATGTCAAGCAAACTCGATCAAAATTACAGCAAAGAGTTCGACTCTTACGACGTCTTTTGAGGGAACCTACACTCCCCTTGGAACGTCGCTTGGCACTCTATAAAACGTGTTGCCGGCCTGTGGCCACCTACGCTGCGGCAACGTGGTGGACCACAGCACAGAAGTACAAGGATACACTTCAGCTAGTACAGACAAGTTTTACGGCTCATAGCACGCTCTCCGTTTCGGAAACGGTTGAAAGTACTGAGCAAGGAACTTGATATCAAGTCCTTCACTCAATGCCTAAGACGGCTTTCATTTAACGAAGCCTGTCAAACCCTTCAAATCAACGAAGCTCCGTCAACGCTCAAACAATTAGCTCGACACGTCCTCATTATAGGACAACGAAGATAATCATCTCTCCCTCTCCAGGATGGACCAACTGAACTGAATGCCAGGCTGAACCACCGGCACCGTACGTGCGCAAAAACCCTGCCCACCGCCCCGTGTTGCTACGTGTTGGCGGGCGCTGGTTTGCATTTCAACAGTACCTATGTGTGCTGCTGCATCAGGCTTTGCGGCGGCGGCCGCGGCGGCGGATGCGGCGGCGGAGGCAGCGGCGGCGGCCGCGGCGGACGAGGCCGTCTGGATGTCCTTGGCTAGCGCCTTGCACGCGTGGCTGTGCGCGTGGTCGGGGAACTTGGCCTTGAACACCTGCAGGCACTCCCACGCCTCTTCCGTCCACTGCAGCTCCAGCAAGCAGCGCGCCAGTCTGTAGCATCACGAAGGGGCGCGTGCATTGCTCGCTTTAACCACTTGCCTTGAGGACCTTTCCATTATAGAAAATGTTTGCATTTGTCATTTCTGGAAATCTGGAAAACAGGAAACCTTGGGAGGGACAATTTAAGGGCGGGTACGGAAACTGGAATGGATATTTGAAGCAATATTGTTCAGCAATGAAGTAGCGAAATCGTTGATATTTGCACAAAGATATATTTAATAGCTCTTTGTATATTTATTATTAAGTCAATAATGTTGTTCATAAAGCTTGTGTGAATGTTACATTAGTTTAAAAAGTTTACAGGTGGCCACTCATTTCGTGGCACAAATTTTCCTGTCTTTTCCCGATTTTCCAGTTCATTTATTTCTTCTGGTAAAATTTGTAATTTCACACGAGTTGAAGAAAATATTAAAGCTGCCTTGATACTAATTGGTCAACTCTCAGATTTCATTGTGAAAAAATACAAACTAACATTTTCTCATCAAATAAAAATTGTGCAACAAATACCACTAATGTTTTCTTTAGAAATAATATGTATTTCTATAACCCTCTCAACATTTTCCTTGAATTCTTGAAGATTTTTCTGCAAAGTTCCTGTTTTCCCTTAGACTTCTCTACAACAATAAATTTGGCCAACTTTCCTCAAATAATATTGACAGTAGAAGACCAAGAAGAAAACTATGGTCTTTTAAATGTTAAGATTTTCTTGAAAATCAGATGACACAAACCAATAGACTGTAATGTCGCTATCTCAGGGTGCAGCATACTTTTCTGTGTAATCATATGTAAGTCCAACAAATAATGTCAACATATTTTATGCTATTGAATGAATCCAACTAGTTTTGAAACAAACCTTGTTGTGTGCTTTTTAATTAGAACACCAACTCACTTGCCCCAATAGAGTCCTGCCCTCGGTGACACCTTGTCTGCCTCCCTATCCTATGATTAAAACACGAAGCCCTTTACGGTCACGAGACGGCATGGCGAGGGAGGGAGGGGGGAACACTGTCACAGAATTGCTAGCTTCGTTACTACTTAAATTTTTTGAAGTTTGAATTTATTGAAGCTCCCAATTGGATGAGTGTTCCCCTCTTTTCAGCTCGATACCTTCAAAGGACTAGTGTTTTAATTGAAGAATACAACAAGAGTTCCTGGGCAATGGCTTGTCCCACTTTCTTTAGTTTATTCATTCTAATCTGTGTTGTTTAGGACCCACTCCACATTGGTTTCCAGGAATAGCCCATATGTATGTTTCTTAGACCCGTTTTTCTTTTTATGATTACAGGGGAACCCAAGTGCCACCAACTCCGATAAGCAATACAATATCTGTTACTGAAACTGTCTAAAGGTATTTCAGGGTGATGCTTGGTGGTTGGGTCTATACCACCATACATTAAAACAAGGAGGTCTAGGAACGGCATCATCTGGAAGCAACACGTACAAACCTCACAACCCGCCACCCAGTTGAGGTCGGTTGGAAAAGCAGTAAATGGCAGTAGTACTGGTGGGAAAGCCAACCATGCATTTAGATACTTAAATGAGAACATTAAACTCTCTTTAACAAAATAATATAGTACTTTTATGATTTACGATGCACATTTTCCAGAAAACTGCATCTGATTTTGCACTCTGTGAACAAATTCAAGAAAAATCATAATGTACCTGAAATGCGCCTTGATGTGATCGGGGTCCAGAAGTAAGGCAGTGTGACAATCGCGCATAGCTGCGTACACATCTCCATCCCTGAAAGAGAGCTTTCATGTCATTAACCGCTCTACAAGCATGCGTCATTTCATTTGTTGCTGTTTGCGATAGTTTTTGATATTTCATTTGTTGCAGAGCACCCGAATCAGAATTCTGTGCAAGTTTTGTAGCATTAGTAAATGCAAAAATGAAATCAACATTCCAAGCATACATTCTTACCAACTACGTTTCATATATGCAGCAGCTCTGTTGCCATACAGTATTGCATGACTGGGGCACATGCTGATAGCTCTGTTGTACATACTGATTGCCAACGTGTAATGTTGCTTTTCAAACTCATCATTTGCCTGCAAAACACATGTACTCATGTCATAAATTATATTGATATTATAGTTTATATTGACTAATATCTACTCTGGCTAATTGGCGAATTAGCCAGTTAAGGTTCATGTTTTCCTAAATGGGTGGATAAACAGCATATGAGTAAACAGCTACGAACCCTACATCGAGCTTTAGCCGGATAAAATGCAGCTAACACAAGGCAGCTAGGTTACACAGTGATGTTATGGCGACCAATGTTAGCCAAATAATGTCTGAAAAATCCCATTCATTGGCATTCTTTTCAATCGACTGGCTAATGTGCAAATGATTGGGCTAATTCCTATAATTTGAAGTTAAGCCGTAACACGTATTCAATGGCTTCCTACTATTGCATTGAACGTACATTGCCCCATTCTTACAAAAATTTTAAAGAAAAAAAATATTCTGCAGGTGGTGAATAGAAGAAAACCACTGCTGGTGAAGAACTCGCATGCTACCGACTGAACTATCTTTACACTGTATTCATCCTAAACATTTATTCATTCATCCTAGACATTAATAATTCATAATGCTTCTGTCAACCTCGAAATTATTCAAAAAAGGTCTACACAAAATGATTCGGAAATCTTATAGTGAGAAATACTTTGCATTGACGAAGGTATCTCTAACTTTCATAAAAACTGTAAAACATTTGAAAACATTTTCACTTTGGTATATTTCAGAATTTGCTTAAGTTTGAATGAAAATCGGACATATCGATATTACGATCATTAAAAAAAACTTACTTTATTTTAGCAATTATTTTTGAAACCTTTTTGCGAAAATCTTTTCACATATTTAACGAATGTCATGATTTCAATCCAAACTATGCGAAAACACACCATATTTTCAAACAAGAGTATTTCACATTGATTCTAATATTTCATTGATAATAATTTTGAAGTACAACAAATCTTTTAGGAAGTGCAAAACACTTTAACTTTGACAATTTTTGAAAATTAGAAGGTTTCTATGAAAATCAAATTTGCATCATTGTTATACTTCGCTCTATTCAAGGCAAACATATAAAAAATCCATTTGGAGCCATTTTTGTGAACATTTTGAAATTGTCATAAAGAATAGTAATACAATAGAGGACCTCCAAAAATTAATATCCATATCAAATTCGAGAGATCGCGAAAATCTTGTGTACAGGTTTAGCAGTAGGTTTAATTCTTTTCTTTTTTCTTTTGTTTTTTTTCGCCTCAGTATCGAAAACCCACTTTGGACACAAACACACAGACTTTGACTAAACCACTTTTTGATTAAGCAATATACTACATACAGGAGCAACAAAAATCAAATCTTTTAGTATTGGGGATCCACAAAACGAGTTTTTCAGCCAAAATATAGAAATTTTTCCAGCAGCATTACAATACTTTCCCAACATTATGTAATAGATTACAGGTAAAACTTTCTCACTCTTCCTTTCAAGTCATTCCACAGTATCCATTTAAAAATACCTACTAGTGTTCATTTCTTCACTTCTATCTCTTGGAAAAGGCGAGCAATGACAGTGGATATTGCAAGAAAAGATTCTGTTTCAGAGAACTTGGCTACGGCTCTGAATGAGAATTTCCTAGATTCGGCAACATCACTAAACATGACAACACAATAATGGGCTCTTCTCTAAATTCCTCAGTTGAAGGGTCAAAATTCCAAAAACCAGGAAAATAAATAATAATAAATTATAAGTCAAACTTACTCGCAGTTTCAAGGCTTCAACCTTCTTTGGTAGAGCTTTCATTTTATTTGTGTCACTATTGCTTGATGCAGTTTGAAAAAATGCAGATATTGCATTGTTACTTCTCGTTACACCGTTGGATGAAGTTGAAAATCCATTAGCAGTCCTATAGCCATTACTATACCCATTTGAAGCAGGACAATGTTCTGGAACATAGAAAAATATGTTGTGAAAAACTCACAACTGAGAACACCAAACTGTGTGGAGTGTAGAGCTGTTCATAAACAATTGACAGATGACGTAAAGCAGATATTGTGAAGAACAAACTTTTTCAGACCTTCAAGATTAATATTTCTATAAACAATTTGAAATTGGAATTTGAGAACAAAATTAAAGAAATACTCACATAACTCACCACAAGATAACTTTCACATTTGGAATAGCGACCTCCCCTTCTTCCCTACACTTATGAAAGGTTATGTATGTCAGCCAAATACTTTTCACATTTTCTTAATTTTTTGGTTTCCTAATTGGAGAGCGGAAATATTATTTTCGGGTTATTAAAGAACAGCAAAACCTCATCCTAAATGGCAATTTTGTTTGAAAAATTTGGAGCCATTATTTAAAAAATTGGGGTTTAAGCACTAGTGTAAATTCGAAAAACAAAGCTCCTTTTTTACAGAAAATTTATGAGTTTTCGAAAAACATCATCTGTAGCCATTATAAGGTTTTTGACTCACAAATACAACAGAGTTTACAAATTGCTTGAAATGTGCGTATCAAACAGCATGAGATATCTTTCAAAATATTTACATTTGTGTAATTTTTGAAAAAAAAATAAAAAAATATACCAAAATTACTTAACCTCATTTTAAAGAGTGAAATTACCACTAATCTTTTGAAATATTTGAAGAAAAAATTTGGAAATAATGTGAACAAATTGCCACTAATATAAATATTAACGTCACGAGAGTTATGTCAAAAAAATTATAATTTTTGAAAAAACAAAAGATTATGATGTTTGTCATCTTATAAAGTACATTTAGCACTCCTGCCAAATGTTTAAAGAAAACATTTTGAGCTGTTTTTAACAAAATCTTGTTTCTGTAATTTTTTAAAATTGCGTATATTGCGTCAAATATAAGGAAAGAAGTCACTATGAAGAACAAATTTGAATTGAAGGAAAAATCTCTCTTTAAATTTGTAGTTGTATGAAGACACTGAAAATAATTCATAATTTTCAAATTTTCGAAAATTTTAAGTTAACCGCAAAAATACGACCTATGCTACATTTATAAGTGCATATTACTCTATTCTTACAAGAAGTTTAAAAAAAAATTGGAGCCGTTTTTGAGAAATATTTCGAAAATCATGTAAAGTACCTCTAAATTTTAAATTTTTATTTATTTATGTTCTTTTCCTCATCTTTCAACTATTTATAGTTAAAATGACGGGAAGGAATTCTGGAACTCAAGAAAACGTGCACAAATTCTCTCCCCTTCCCCATGTCACATACAGTTTTTACTTTTAGCTAGTAGTGTTCACAGACACCGGACGGACGGACGGACGGACGGACGGACGGACGGACGGACGGACGGACCTTTTAAAAAACACTTTCGGTATCGGGGACACCAAAACGTGTATTTCCGTTGAAATCTCGAAAGCGATTTTTCGCCGCGGAAAGGGGTGGGTTTCGCCGACCCTCCGGCGACGACGAACAAAGGGACCGCAGCAGGTAAAACTACGCGACCAGCGGCGCAGTGGGAATACCGTCATTTGAAGCTGTGTTCTGCTATCGGTGGCGCGTACGCCCTCCTGCGCTTCTCGTAGAGAGGGTCCGGCGCCGAACGCCGCCGCGCAGTGTTAAATTTGGGCAAACTAGGTGGAAAAAATACCTTCGTAAACATACGTCGTATTTTGGTGAAATTTGATACACACATCGAGGCGAGCAGTAGCACTTGTTTGTATTGATGCTGAATCTCTTTTACCTTCCTTCCTTCATGCCGTTTCTGCCGGCAAATTGATCTCCTCAGTGTTAGATTGTAAGATGTGCTGTACTTTCTTAGCCCTTCTTACCACACGCACTGAAAGGTTTTGCTGGACGGCCAGGTCTGGATGGTAGGTACACCCAGTTTTGATGTACTCGGGATAGAATTGAGTGAAAATGAAATATTTTCATGCAGCGCAGAATTATAAGTGTCCAGAAATTCCTGTCGATGTCTCTCTATTCCCTTATATCTGGAATTACCTTTGTTGTAAACATTCCTAATCATCTATTTAATGTCCTTTAATACAGTTTCTGAATATTCAATGTCTTTCGTTCTTGAACAACATACGCGAAAATACTATCAAATTTCGAAATCTTCCAGTTTATTCATATTTCAAAAAGAGTATTCCGAGATAATGAGGCCGCCCATTCTCTTAAAAGTAAATAAAAAGTAGTTGCAAGTTTGCGCTTTTTTTTATTTCTTGAATACTTGAATATACCAGCTATAATATAAACATAACCTCAAAGTGGAATTTGGTGAAATACTATGTTAAAACCTAGTCAATATTCAAAAACCCTTGTCACTACAAATGAACAACACTCACCTTTTCAATATTTTTCCGTGAGACGATACAAGGTAATAATGAATAATAAAAACTACTAGTCACTAGTAAGCAAAACATATGTACTCTATTATCCAATAACAAATCAGACATTCAGCAGCACTTACGAAGCACGCACTTTGAGCAAACTTGATGCATCGAAGCGCACTATTGGGACTGCGCGCGGCGGTGAGAAGTTCGAGCAAGTTCACACATGAATTACGCTCTCTGTTCGGATTTCTCGAAAACATGTCGTCGTCGTCAGATGCTAGGGACATTCTACTAATGTTAAAAAAATTCGCTTTGGATTACTTGGAAAACTTAAAATTTTCCACCTAGATCGCTTAAATTTGACACTGTGCAGCGGCGCAAACCCGCTGCCCGTGGGAAGATCTCCATTCAAACCAATGTTCTGCTACGAGCGCGGCGACCGAAAGCGCGCCGTGGTGGAGACGTGTGAAGGGGACCTCGGTCTGATTTTTTTTTTTTTTTTTTCTTTCGAGGTTGCCCCGAGATAACAGAGCGCCACGTACCCGTCGGTTTGAGGCGCCGCCCAAAAGTTTCTAAAGAGTCAAAAGGCGCCGAGATGCGGCTGGGTAGGGTAGAACTCGATGCCGCGCGCTGTTCAAGGCCATAGAGTATTTCTAAAACGTGCGCGGGCGTGGTATTATAAAAAGATAATGCTACTTTTCATAAACACACGTGCGAAGGACACTGTTCGACCTCCCCCCCCCCTTAAAATTGCATACCAGCGATTCGTAACGAGCACTTGCGCGTCGTCAGACGGTTCTTTGAAAACATTCCTTTTTTACGATCGCCGCGTGCGCCGTTAGACCACAGTTGCGTCGAATTCCACGAACCAGAGGACAAAGAGGCGTACCCCCTCCCCCGCGTGCAAGTCACATTAACCCGTCGCACCAAAAGTGCATCAGACATTTATTTCTTTTTCGCATGAGCAAACACACCTTTGGTCTGAAAATCGCCCCGCCACAGCTCCCAATAGCTGCTTTTAGACAATCAGGGTGACGCACTCGGATCAGAGGAGGTGATTGAAGCCTTCGTTGTGTCGCGTGTGAGGTTCCAAATTGAGTAGGTTTCTGTCTTTTTGTAGATGCATTCGGTTTCCGTTTTCGGAAGACGCACTTGGTTTCTATTTCAAGCACCGACTTGCAATGACTTGGTTTTTGCGTCTCGAATTTGACTTGGCACTTGCAAATTTACATCTCAAACAGGCACTTGTAATGTCTTGCGTTTTAGCTTGAACTCGCAACGTATTGCAGTACTGACTCACACTAGCATGAACTTGCAGTTTATTTTCGGAACTAGAATCGTGCTTCGAACTTATGAGCTCATCCTTAACTTGTGCTCCGGCCGGTTCTTTGACTGCGGTCCCGCCTGGTTCGGGAATCGAACTCAGCCGATCGCCACAGTGAGTCCTGACCTCGTGCGTCGTCTTCCTATATGTCGGGCCTGCGTCAACGAGAGAGGGGCGAGCGATGCGTGTCGTTGGCTGCTGTGAGCGACTGAGGGGCGTGCCGGCCTCCCCCTGCCGGCGCCCAGCCCTTCGAGAAGAAACTCACCACGCTATTGCACAATCAGGAGTTTGTGAATGACCCTTAATCGGGTCCCTGTCATCTCAACTTTCCCACTGAAAGACGAAGAGACTGCTCAATGAAGGAAGCTGAGGGACTAGATGCCCTCAATACGGCATATTTGTAGCGCCAAAAGAGGTTTTTTATTGGAGGGGGGTTGTTGTAATCACTCCCATTATACTAGTAAGCCCCAATAACTAAAATAATAAATTGTAGTTATTTTGTAAATTTATTCACTTGCATGCTCATCATTTTAAATTTTTATTTAATGTGTTGTGAAATGAATTCAGTACGTGTTTTATTGAACAAGAAATCCTGCATCCAAGGACTGTCCGGCAAGTTACAATACATGGAGAAACCTATGTCAAGTCTTGAATCTGACAACTATTGGTTTCTGTAGTGTAGAAAGCTACAAGACACCAAAACACACAGGTGTCCCACACATCATTTCCACATCTGTTCCCTGATGTCTCCTACCCATCCACCAAAACTCATGATGTCAGAACTTTCCAATCCTCAAAAAGGCATGTTCTAATGGCACAGGCAAACCTGATTTCAAACACCTAGGATGCATTCCAAACTGCTTATACACGATTAAGTGTTTTTGCAATTACGTTTTGGACATCATAATCCGCAAACTTCAATTCTTTTCTTCTCAAATCTGTTTTATGTAGCACTGACGTGTAATTCTCTACCCACCAGTAGCTGACTTGAGACAAATACTATCATCTTTCCTTGGCAAATTATACACTTTACAAATTATTGAGCTTTAAAAAATGATACATTTGTTAGTGAATTCCAAGGGGGAAAAAAAAGAAGAAGAAAAAGAAGAAAAAGAAGAAGAAAAAGAAGAAAAAGAAGAAGAAGAAGAAAAAAAAGAAGAAGAAGAAGAAGAAAAGAAGAAGAAGAAGAAAAAGAAGAAGAAGAAGAAAAAGAAGAAGAAGAAGAAGAAGAAGAAAAAGAAGAAGAAAAAGAAGATGAAGAAGAAAAAGAAGATGAAGAAAAAGAAGATGAAGAAAAAGAAGATGAAGAAAAAGAAGAAGAAGAAGAAGAAGAAGAAGAAAAAGAAGATGAAGAAAAAGAAGAAGAAGAAGAAGAAGAAAAAGAAGAAGAAGAAGAAGAAGAAGAAGAAAAAGAAAAAGAAGAAGAAGAAGAAGAAGAAGAAGAAAAAGAAGATGAAGAAGAAGATGAAGAAAAGAAGAAGAAGAAAAAGAAAAGAAGAAGAAGAAGAAGAAGAAGAAAAAGAAGATGAAGAAAAAAAGAAGAAAAAAAGAAAAAGAAGAAGAAAAAGAAGAAAAAGAATAAAAGAGAAAGAAAAAAAGAAAAAAGAAAAAAAGAAAAAAGAAAAGAAAAAAGAAAAAGAAAAAAAAAGAAAAAGAAAAAAAGAAAAAGAAAAAAAGAAAAAGAAAAAAGAAAAAGAAAAGAAAGAAAAAGAAAAAGAAGAAGAAGCAAAAAGGAAAGAAAACAATGGGGGGCTACAACACTAAAATAAATGGTAGATTTGTTGCAATTATTTTCAAAGTGAATTGAAAATTGTAAATTATTTTTATTGTGGGAAAAAAGTAAAAATATGTTTTATTTTTTATCTGCAGCCCTACAATCAAAAATGTGCCTGTTCCAGTAGTGTTCTTAGATAGTACGTAAATAATATATATAGTTTAACTATTCATAATTAAGTCATTAGGTTTTGGGGAACATTTTACTGTCTTATTCAACACAACCCTTTCAATAACAAGTTTTTAAATACCTGCAATATTTACAATAATTACCTTTGTAGGGTTTGAAATCATTTGTGTTGACACCTTTCACATCAAATGTCTTCGGCATCCTTTTATTATTTATATCAAAGAGGTAGATTTGTTCCCCTCCTAGATTCACAAGTAATTCATTGCCATCTGAGGAGAATGTGAGGTATGTGGAAGCCAAATTTCTGTATCGTTTACGGAAGTCGTGCTGTTTAAGAGGAAGGTGACCTGAAAGTAAACATTCATGTCTATTAATTACTTTCATAATATTTAAATAATAGCATTACTCAAAACAGAAAGCACAAAATTAATGATTATTTGCAATTCATGATAACTTGATGACAGTAGAAGTTGAAAAGTTATTAATTCGGAAAATTATAAATGGAATTAGATATAATATAACATAAACAGTGCAACCATTCATTGCCACTACCATTTTCATTTCGACTAGAGCTTGGGAATGACGACAAGTGAAAAAGTGTTAAATACATAACACCAGTACTAAAAGCATTATTATGAATACAGATAATATCCAGATATTAGGGGTACTTATACATCACTACTCAAGATTGACATTTTAAAATGCACAGGTAAGTAAAGTAATTAACAAGGTACATTTGAATACAGCAAGAGCCTATGTCTGGTACTCATTATGGAAGCCCTCAGTCCATCTTCAGAAAGTATTTGTGGGTTCATTTAAAATCTTTGAGGAGAAAGTCAATCATTAAAATATCATTTCCCACCCTACGACCTACCTGGGGGCTCCCACAGTTTTTTTTCCCTTTTCAGGAGATGCACCAGACAGTTTTTGGCGGCCGCAGTGGGTTTTGTGCGTCGGGCTGCGGCGCAGCGGGGGCGGTGGGGCGGGTGCACCGTGGTTGGGGCGAGATCAAGACCGGGTGGGAGGAGGTCGAGACGGAGCAAGTCGGGGTCGAGCCGGGAGGGGGCATGGAGAGGTGGGAGCGACGTCGGGTCGGGTCGGATCGGGTCGGGTCGGGTCGGGTCGGGTCGGGTCGGGTCGGGGTGTTGGCGGGGAGGGGCGGAGCGAAACGAAGTATGGCATCGCGGAGGAGAAAATAAACATTACTTCCATTTGACATAACTGGAACATCTTACTCCTTTTCCTGTTCAATATTGTTTATGATTGTGATAATGGGTGGGCGGGCAATGCCGGGTTATTTCAAGTATTCTTTAATTGTATGCTGAATTTGCTTCATGTCAGCGTGAGTGAGCATTTCTTGGCACCGAGCACATGAACTACTTAGGTCATTTGTCTTGTAAGGGCACTGCATACATTGCGGGTGGCAGTACTCGTAACTCTCCCGCAGAACAGTGAAATACGGTTCCGACCTACTCGTCGGCTTTCGGAGTATTCCCCTTTTGGGAAGTCCCCTAGCGGGGCAGAGCCCAAGTCGAAACAGTTTCAAAATGTCGATCAGACTCTCGACATGGTAGCGTAGTAATGTGAGTAGATGTTGGAAAGGTTGGGAGAAGGAAGAAAGAAAAAAAAAACATCGCGTGCTGTCCGCGTGCATTTGTTAGGGTTGTTCTAGGTAACGATAACGCTTTGTAAGATTAAAGGAAGTTAACAGACTTAACGTAAAACTAACGAATACATTTCTTTTACTTTAAAATGTTCTGATTGCTGAATATGGTATTGAGAAATTGTTAGCTAACTTCGATGTTTAGAAGCTTTGGTAAACTATTGTACGATTTAAATCTAGTGACTCCCCACGAACGGGAGCAGGAAGGAGAGGGGGAAACTCATGTAATCGGGAGCTACGCTACGATTTACATTTTTACTTTCTCGTTACTACTTACGCAGTATTGTAATGCTGTGGGAAAATACGGATATTTTCGATAGAAAAGCTTTTATTGCCAAGCCCCGGTAACGGAAAAGTGGATAAATCGGCAAAACTGCGATTGTTCGTCTGTGGTCAACGCTGGCGCCTAACCCGATTTGATATGATTTTCTACAAAATTGATATTGCCCAATCGATCGGACTGATGGATCAGTCTCTTGAATTTGAAACTGATATTTTAATTTCAGAGGTACTTTACTTGAAGCCCCTGGGACATTTTCAAAAAACTGATTTCAAATTTATTGATTACATTTTGTTGTCGGATAGTGTAGGACAGTTAATAGAACGGTACATGTCACATTTTCTTCGAAATCCCAGCTGTATTGAAGATTACGTAAGTTCAATCTTTTTCGGCGTCACCCTATAACTGAACTATTCAAGACATAATTTTTCCATAGTGAACTCTGTTCTTAAAGGACAGTGTTTAAAATGATTGTCCAGTACAATTTTTCGAAAATTTGAGTAGTTTTCGCGTAATTTTGGGTGAATGTAGGCAAATAATTTTATTTAAACAATTTTTTTCTCACAAATTGGCAGCATTTTTTTCTTTAAATTTTCTTCTCCTATGAATCAAAGGGCCGTAAAGAATGTTGGTTTGTTTCCATTTCCGGTAAACATTTTCGAAAATTGAAAAGAAAAAAAATCGAACTTACCGCGTCTCGTTTAACGTGCTGTCAGTTCACAAAATGGCAACACAAAGGTTTCAAATTATATTCCAATGCTTCTCATTGTTACAGGTCGTGATGATTGTATTGTGTAGATAAAATTCTTACGTAAGAAAATAGATTTAAGGAAGTTAACAGATTTAACTTAAAACTAACAAATGCATTTCTTTTACTTTAAGATGTTCTGATCGTGACTATGGTATTGAGAAATTGTTGGCTCACTTCGATGTTAATCAAGGCAAGCTTGAGTGAAATATTATTTCTTTTCTGTATATCATGCTACAAATACAGTTAAATTTATTCATGTTCGTTTAATTTGTTAAAGTTAAAAATGTCTACTGCGAAATAAACACCGATATGCACTAAAGGCGCAGTTTAAATTGGTTCAATTGGACTTTTTCGATTTACAACTTCAGTTTTTTGTACGGCAAAAATTACAATATTTCAATATTACGTGCTATTTCCAATATCGAGCAAAAGTAAGTTGGCCTATCCTGTGACTTTGAAAATAATTCTTTAGATTTAGCAGGTACTCCACAAAAAGCCCATAAGTTATTTTCAAAATGATCTGAAAATTACCTCAAATTTTTTGTTAGAATATACTGAAAAACAAAGGTGGTGTAGGTCAGATTTACATGGTTAAATCAGAATATTCAAAAAATTCCAAAGTTTTACTTTTTTTTTAATCATGCGTTAAAACTACATTACTGAAGATAGAGATTTTTTGTTCAAATGAAATTTATTCACAACATTTAGTTTGTTGATTTACGAGACTAATTGTTAAAAAACATTAATAGTTTTTGCTAAATTTTAGTGAAACATGGGCAATATTTAAAAAAAAGCATTTACATAAATAATGCTTTTTAAATTTGTTTTTTTTTACATTTTTTGTATGAATATGACTGAATGCATTGAATATTATTACATAAATCCCATTTTTATCCATTTTTTTGATTTTTAAAAACTTATACAAATACAAAATAACTATTTTTAAAACATATCTCGCTCTCGCCATTATATCCCCTTCATCAAAATTAAAATTATAGATTACATTAAGAATAAGAGCTTAAATTTAACATGTTTCGTTGTAATGAGGTAACTCTACAGAACTTTTTGGATTAATCTTAAGATGTCGCTTACTCACAATAATAATTAAAAGTTCTTTTAGGTATTACCCTGGCGCGTCTTGATTACACATTATATTAATACTTAACTATCACTTATGACTCGTTCATGTTACGACGACTTAAGTAATTTTTGAAAAATGTCCACATTGATAATTTTTTGATGCTAAAATTTCTCTTGCACAACCAAAAATTTCTAATCGGAAAATTCTGTTAAGAATATTGTTATATATTCAACAAAATATTTGTTAAGAAACATTTTAAATGAATTTACTTATTTTGAGGAAATAGAAGTACTACTTGCTAGTAAAGTAGTGTGTTTTTTAATAGAGATTCCGGGCGCACCAACTGCTAAGGTCATTAGTCCGTAAATGTAGTGCATGTTTTTGGGGAGGAGGAGGTGGTGGTGGTTGTGATCTTCTCCTGATAGACAGTAAGACCCAGCGCCGGTCTATTGTCAGCTTGCATGGTTTCCCCAACCAGAACGACACATGGTATCTGTCACCAGCACAACACAGCCCCAGCCGGGACAAGCTCTAAGTTCCCGACCTGTCTCGCAACATGTGTGGTAGTGTAGTGCACGTACTTAAGGCAAAGGACAAGGAAGAGGAAGGAAAGATTGTGCATGGTACATAGCTCTTTGATTAGGACACTGCTCTGGCGACCACCTGACATTGATGGCAGCGATTGTTGGCTCAGGTGACACCTGACTACCAATTAAAGCGGCCAGCTGCTGCAATTCTCCACCAGGCAGCGAATGAATTCAACCTAGCTATCTAGCTAGTCAAAAATTCTGCCACCATCAGGACTTAATCTAAGACCTCACGGTCAGAGGCACTGCAGTATCATCAGTTGATGTCTTGAGCCACCTCTCCCAGTCAATCCTAAATCTCATGGATCATTGGCCACCCAATCAAAAGGAGTTGCAAAGGAAAGTAACAAAATTGTGCCCCTCAGAAAACAAGATTGGATGATTCAGCAGTGATCACTCGTTTTGCACCGTTGTTAATCATCAACCAATGGTAATTACCCTATTGCATTGTATTCAAACTAGAACACTATAAAATTACCTGCAACAAAATATTGTACACACGAAGTTGGTAAGTTGTCTTCGTGTTCATTATCAAATGGCATCCCTTGTCGATCCCATCCCCCTTGGGCTGGTGGGTACTGCAACCAAAATGTGGTAAACAAACACAACTTCTGAAGAATTGTAAATTATTGGAGAAAGATACTATGAAAAAGAATTAAAGAAGGAAACCTTTTTGAAAAGAATTGGGTGAATACAAAAATAAATATCTTTATTTTCTTCAGAAAGATTTTAATACAAAATTAAGCACAAATTAAATACACCCATTACTTTCACAGTAAAATCTCAATGTTTGTCAAAAAGGTCACAAAATTTTATAACAAACAAACATACTTTTACACAGCTCTCCTCAATTAACCTTTCCAACTGGCAGGAAAATGAACTCTTCGAAACTAAACTCTATTTACCAACTACTAAATTGAAACAGAAAAACTTGAGAACAAACGAATTTAATAAGTTGATGTGCTTTCAGTCAATGCCAAGAATTATTATTCGGTTGAAAAATTTGTGACTTAGGTACTATTTGAGAGTAATTCTAAATGATAATTTGAATCCCACTAAATATTGATGAAACAAGTTTGATATATAAGTGACAATGAAACATAACATTCAAACTTTTATCTATGACAATATCCTTTCTACTTTTCCTCCTTATACTAAATTGTAGGGAAGAAAAGTATCAGAATCATTTTAACAAAATGATCTTGATTACTGATTGAAATATCTGTGTTTAAGAGTCATTTCAGCAGTAACTTTGCATGTACATTGTAATTAAAGTCTATTAAAAGTGTTCCACAGATGGGTAAGATTGGTTCAGGTGGAGAGGAGGTACATGCAATTTTGAACACAAAAATTGATTTGTATATATGAATGGAGGATGGATCACACATAAGTTGGATAAGAAGCTTTTGAGCTGAAACTCTGTAAATAAATCACAAGTAAGATGCAGTTGTACTGTTCTGAAGATCATTAAAATGTTTTATTTCGAGTGGTACTTTACATTAAGTCCCTATTAGATTTTCTAGAAAATAGCTGAAAACGTTTTCTTTACATTATTTGCTCGCACAAGAAAAAGTGCATGAAATTTGGGAAATTGCAATGGTATACTGTACATTTAGTTGATAATGAAAAGCTTTATTGCATATGAATATTTATAAAAACAAGTGACAGTGAGTGAGGTGTTTTTTCAAATTTGTATGAATGCAATAAAGCAACATTATAAACAAGTTGCTTAAGTAATCTTTTTCCACACTCATTTACTTGTGATAATGCAGGTTTGCAAATAGGCTTGAAGCTTCTGCAGGATAATGTATTCATTATTTGTATTTATTATTGCAGCCTGTTGATAAATACAAATTGAAATTTTGAGAAAATCTAGATTAAGATTTTTTTTTTTTTTGAAATGCCCTAAAAAACACCCCATGTTTTTACATTTTTAAATGCTGGCATTGCTATTTGAAATACTCAACTGCACTCCATGAAGTTATGGAGGTGATACAATTCGAGACATAGTGATTTTTTGGATGTGTGACCGTAGAGGAGCCCCGTGGATTTACTGGCGCCAAGCTTCTGGGTGAAGTGATGAAAGGCTGTGACTTACTACACCTGATTACAACTGACTAGAGATTAAAGGACGATTACTCCATTACAGTTTCGACACCAGTACATGGTAACAGAGAACCTTGTTATAAACTGACATCACAAATCGTAGATACCTAAAATTGAACATTAATAAAATCTCTAATTTTGAAAATCAGATTCCACTATGAAAAAATGTCTTCAGTAGGAGGGTGTCTAAAAAATGTTAACCATAGAATATCTTTGATATTTCCGGTGGTTTTAATGAGAATCATACATGCATTATTTTTAAAAACATACTTTGCTCCATTGGAGCAAAAAAATTAAAGAAACATTTGAAGCAATTTTGGAAAATTTCCAAACTGTCGCAGGGGTTTTGTGTAAGTACCCCCAAAAATTTAGGGATTCTCTGCAAACATGCAGGGTTTCCAATTAGAGCAGATTTATGGAGAAATATATATTTTGGGGAAAATCTCAAATATTAGGTGCTAGCATTGTTTAAATGGGCACACAGGCACACATTTTAAAAGAGAATGAGAGAAAAAGAGGGGCAAAGAAAAAGACATACCACAAGTACAAGAATGAAAGAAATGGCATATAGTGCCCGAATGAAACTAAGGGAAAGTGCCCTGGAGTAAATTGAGTGTGCAATAAATGGGTAATAAACAAAAGAATCATTATGTTGTAATGATACAATTCAGAAATCATGAATTTGACAGGAATGTCCAGATTTCAACAACCAAGCTAACGATTATAGCTTTCAAGTGAAAGTAAATTCAATCAAAACAACCAAATTATCTTTTACTCATAAAAACCATAACAGAAATGATACAGAATACTGAGCAATGACACTTGCTGGTAAATAATATCTCAACTTTTCACATATTATTGCATTATACAGAATATTACAAAGCACAACATGAAAGCATTTACCTGAAAATTAGTTGGCTTGATCATACGACGATCGTATAATCGAATGTAGGGATCATTTGCTCCGACAGCAAGCAGCTCTGGTCTGACTGGATTAATAGAAAGACACTTCGCCTCAGCGTATCTGCCCATGTGGTTGAGGAGATTGATGAGAACATTCACCTCTCTTGAACATGTATGAGGTGTCCGCAAATCAAATTGCCTATTAAACACACAACCGCAACAATACGCAAAATGATCAACACAAACTTCACAAATCTTCATCAACAAATCAATACACTAAACTAATGAATCTTTAAGATATCACAATTAGAGAAAAATACATAAACATTCACACACACGTGGGTTGTGGAAGAAATCTTTTTTTTTCTAAAAGAAATGTTATCGGATTATGAAATTGTCTTTTTCACTTGAAAGAAATGCTGTGTGAGCATGGTAAGAGTGGTGGAATGTCTGGTATACGTGTGTGGAATGTCTGGTATATTATCCCAAACAAAAAAAAAAAAAAGGGAAGAAAAAAAATAAAATATTTTCATGCAAGCGGCCAAAAGAAATTATAAAGGTTGGGGTTCCGCAGAAAAATTCTGTCGATGTCCTTCTCTATTCCTTATAATCTGGAATTAACTTTTTGGTTTTTGTAAACATTTTCTAATCAAAATCTATTTTAAATGTCCTTTTAAATAACAAGTTTTCCCTGAATATTCAAATGTCCTTTCGTTCTTGAACCAACAATAACGCGAAAATACTAATCAAATTTCGAAATCTTCCAGTTTTAACTTCAATATTTCAAAAAAGGTTATTCGAAATAATGCGGGCCGCCCATTCTCTAAAAGTAAATAAAAAGTAGTTGCAAGTTTGGGCGCTTTTTTATCTGTATATATTGTATATATACCAGCGTATAATATAAACATAACCTCAAAGTGGATTGGTGAAATAAACTATTTAAAAACGCTAGTCAAATATTCAAAACGCCCTTGCTATAAAACATCGAACAACACTCACGCTTTTCCATTATTTTTTCGCGTGAGACGATACAAGGTAATAATGAAAATAAAAATACTTCACTAAGTAAGGCAAAACATATGTAACTCTAGGGTGGAGCCACATAACAAATCAGTACTTCCAGCAGCAACTTACGAAGCACGCCCACTTGTTGAGCAAAACTTGAATGCATCGAAAGCGCACTATTGGGACTGCGCGCGGCGGGTGAGAAGTTCGCAAGTTCACACATGAATTACGCTTCTCTGGTTCGGATTTCTCGGAACAGTGTCGTCGTCGTCAATCAGGACATTCCTGCTAATGTTAAAAAAATTCGCTTGGAATTACTTGGTATTATATTATTTAAAATTTCTCCACCTAGATCGCTTAACTGTTGACAACTGTGCAGCCCGGCGCAAACACGCGCTGCCGTGGGAAGCTCGGGTGCCATTCAAACCAATGTTCTGGGACGACGGGCGGCGTATTTGAAAGCGGGCGCCGTGGGTGGACGACGGTGCTGACACGGGGACCTCGGTCTGATTTTTGTTTTCCCTTTTTTTTTTCGTTTCGAGGTTGCCTCCCGAGCATATACAGGAGGCCGACGTAACCCGTCGGTTTGAGCGCGGCCCGCTCCAGGATGAAAGAGTCAAAAAGGCGCCGCAGATGCGGCTGGGTAGGGTAGAACTCGATGCCGCGCGCTGTTTCACGGCCATAGAGTATTCTAAAACGTGCGCGGGCGTGTTTATAAAAAGATTAATGCTACTTTTCATAAACACACGTGCGAAGGAACACTGTTCGACCTCCCCCCCCCTTAAAATTGCATACCAGCGATTCGTAACGAGCAACTTGCCGTCGTCAGAACGTTCTTTGAAAACATTCCTTTTTTACGATCGCCGCGGTGCGCCGTTAGACCAACAGCTTGCGTGAAATTCCACGAAACCCAGATAGGACAAAGAGGCGTAGCCCCTCCCGCGTGCAAGTCACATTACCCGTCGCACCAAAAAGTGCATCAGACATTTATTTCTTTTTCGCATGAGCAAAACACACCTTTGGTCTGAAAATCGCCCCGCGCAAGGCTCAATCAGCTGCTTTTAGACAATCAGGGTGACGCACTCGAATCAGAGGCAGGTGCCTGTGAAGCCTTCGTTGTGTCGCGTGTGGAGGTTCCAAAATTGAGTAGGTTTTCTGCTTTTTTGTAGATGCATTCGTTCCGTTTTCTGGAAGACGCACTTGTTTCTATTTCAAGGCACCCGACTTGCTAATGACCTTGGTTTTTTGGTCCTCGGGAATTTGACTTGCACTTGCAAATTTACATCTCAAACAGGCACTTGTAATGTCTTGCGTTTTAGCTTGAACTCGCAACGTATTGGGCAGTAACTCGACTCACACTAGCATGACACTTTGCAGTTTATTTTTCGGACCTAGAATCGTGCTTCGAAACTTACTGAGCTCATCCTTAACTTGTGCTCCGGCCGGTTTCTTGACTGCGGTCCGCCTGGTTTCGGGAATCGAACTCAGCCGATCGCCACAGTGAGTCCTGACCTCGTTGCGTCGTCTCCTATATGTCGGCCTGCCGTCAACGAGAGGAGGGCGAGCGATGCGTGTCGCCGTTGGCTGCTGTGAGCGACTTGAGGGGCGGTGCGGCCTCCCCCCTGCCGGCGCCCAGCCCTTCGAGAAGAAAACCTCACCACGCTATTGGCACAATCAGCGAGTTTTGTGAAATGACCCTTAATCGGGTTCCTGTCATCATCAACTTTCCCACTTGAAAGACGCAGAGACTGCTCAATGAAGGAAGCTGAGGGCTAAGATGCCTCAAACGGCATATTTGTAGCGCCCAAAAGAGGTTTTTTTAATTGGAGGGGGTTGTTGTAATCACTCCCATTATACTAGTAAGCCCCAATAACTAAAATAATAAATTGTAGTTATTTGTACAATTTATTCCACTTGCATGCTCATCATTTTAAATTTTTATTTAAATGTGTTGTGAAATGAATTTCAGTACGTGTTTTATTGAACAAGAAATCCTGCATCCAAGGACTGTCCGGCAAGTTACAATACATGGAGAAACCTATGTCAAGTCTTGAATCTGACAACTATTGTTTTCTGTAGTGTAAGAAAGCTAACAAAGACACCAAAAACAACAGGCTGTCCCACACCATCATTTCCACATCTGTTCCTGATGTCTCCTATTCCTACCCATCCCCAAACTCATGCTGTCAGAACTTTCCAATCCTCAAAAAGGCATGTTCTAATGGCACAGGCAAACCTGATTCAAACACCTAGGAGCATTCAAACTGGCTTATCACACGATTAAGTGTTTTTGGCAATAAGTTTTGGGACATCATAATTCCGCAAACTTCAATTCTTTCTTCTCAAATCTGTTGGGTTATGTAGCACTGCCGTGTAATTCTCTACGCCACCAGTAAAAAAAAAAAGCTCCCTTTTGGACCCCCCCCCTTTTGAAAGACAATACTATCATCTTTCGCTTGGCAAATTATACACTTTACAAACTTATTGAGGCTTTAAAAATGATAATTTGTTAGTGAATTCCAAGGGGGAAAAAAAAGAAGAGAAAAAAGAAGAAAAAGAAGAAGAAAAGAAGAAAAAGAAGAAGAAGAAGAAAAAAAGAAAGAAGAAGAAGAAGAAAGAAGAAGAAGAAGAAAAAAGACGAAGAAGAAGAAAAAGAAGAAGAAGAAGAAAAGAAGAAGCAAGAAGAAGAAGAAGAAAAAGAAGAAGAAAAGAAATGAGAAGAAAAAGAAAGCATGAAGAAAAGAAGATGGAAGAAAAAGAAGATGAAGAAAAAGAAGAAGAAGAAGAGAAGAAGAAGAAAGAAGAAAAGAAGATGAAGAAAAAGAAGAAGAGACGAAGAAGAAAAAAGAAGGAAGAAGAAGAAGAAGAAGAAGAAAAAGAAAAAGCAGAAGAAGAAGAAGAAAAAGAAGAAAAAGAGAAGAAGAAAAAGAAGAAGAAGAAAGAAGAAGAAGAAGAAGAAGAAGAAGAAGAAAAGAAGATGAAGAAGAAGATGAAAGAAAAGAAGAAGGAAGAAAAGAAAGAAGAAGAAGAAGAAGAAGAGAAGAAAAAGAAGATGAAGAAAAAAAGAAGAAAAAAAGACAAAAGAAGAAGAAAAATAGAAGAAAAAGAAATAAAAGAGAAAGAAAAAAAGAAAAAGAAAAAAAGAAAAAAGAAGAAAAAGAAAGAGAATAAAAAAGAAAAAAGAAAAAAAGAAAAAGAAAAAAAAGAAAAAAGAAAAAAGGAAAAAAGAAAAGAAGAAAAAGAAAAAGAAGAAGAAGCAAAAAGAAAGAAAAGCAATGGGGGGCTACAACACTAAAATTAAATGGTAAGATTTGTTGCAATTAATTTTCAAAGTGGAATTGAAAATTGTAAAATTATTTTTTATTGGGGAAAAAAGTAAAAATATGTTTTTATTTTTTTTTATCTGGCAGCCCCTACAATCAAAAATGTGGCCTGTTCCAGTAGTGTTCTTAAGATAGTTACACGTAAATAATATATATAGTTTAACTATTCATAATAAGTCATTAGGTTTTGGGGAACATTTACTGTCTTATTCAACACACCCTATTTCAATACAAAGTTTTTAAATACCTGCCATATTACAATAATTACCTTTGTAGGGGTTTGAAATCATTTGTGTTTGACACCTTTCACATCAAATGTCTTCGCATCCTTTTATTATTTATATCAAAGAGGTAGATTTGTTCCCTCTCCTAGATTCAAGTAATTCATTGCATCTGAGGAGAAATGTGAGGTATGTGGAAGCCAAATTTCTGTATCGTTTTAGCGGAAGTCGTGCTGTTTTAAGAGGAAGGTGACCTGAAAGTAAAACAATTCATGGTCTATTAATTACTTTTCATCAATATTTAAAATAAATAGCATTACTTCAAAAACAGAAAGCACAAAATTAATGATTAATTTGCAATTCATGATAACTTGATGACAGTAGAAAGTTGAAAATTATTAATTTCGGAATAATTATAAATGGAATTAGATATAATATAACATAAAGTGCAACCATTCATTGCCCAACTACATTTTCATTCGCTAGAGCTTGGGGACATGACGACAAGTGTAAAAAGTGTTAAATACATAAACACCAAAGTACTAAAAAGCATTATTATGAATACAGAATAAATATCCAGATATTAGGGTACTTATACATCACTTACTCAGATTGACATTTTAAAATGCACAGGTAAGTAAGTAATTAAC